CCCTCCTTCCCGTCTAAATCGTTCTTTCTGTAGTGCGGTAGAAGGTAACTTGATCTTGGCAATAGACTCCATTTACTCGATTCCGCCAAAGGGTTGGTTTGCCGGACATGCGCCAACGTATAAAAAGAGACACTACTCAGGACATCATGGTTGGGGTAGTCAAATTATGGATGACCGTGCTCGTTTGGAACCACCTCTACCTATGGGTTCTGGTATTACGAGTATTTTGGATGGTGGAAAAGAGTTAGAATTGAGTAGTCGTTCTGACCGTTGGCAAGTACTGCCTGCTAAAAACCGTTTACGTGACCAAAAGGCTGCAAACCAAAAGGTGTCAGCCTTCCTCGTTTTAGCACCGCGAGCAGGTAACAAGCAGGAAGGCGACCGTATGATCATAGTCAAACAGAACGCACAAGGAGACCAAGAAGCCACAGTACAATCATTGCCACCTCTAGACGTACTCAATCAAATGGTCACCGAAGCACTCAGCCAGGACCAGGATAGACAACCCACTAAATCCTTCGACAAAAAACGCAAACGACTTGGCCACTCCGTTACTTCCACTAACGGTACCACCACTACCGGTACCACCACTAACGGTACCACCACTACCAGTGATATACAGAAACAACTCCAGGACGCCGAAGACGTAGACCTCCTGCCGGTGGAAATCACTGAGGCCGAAAAAGTTGGGACTAAAACTGCGCTCGTGACCGAAGACGGTGTGACCGAAGACGGTGTGACCGAAGACGGTGTGACCGAAGACGGTGTGACCGAAGACGGTGTGACCGAAAAGGATCAGAACCCGGTGGACGATGATGACATGACGACGCGGCGGGAAGTGCGTCCACCGACCAAATCGGATTTGCATTTGCTGGAATTGTTAAATCTCGCACATCGCGAGTTTGAGCCAAGTAGTCCCGTTGACGTGGAACGGTTGGACCAATTGGTTGACGCCTTAGTGATTGAGTTTCTGGACCCGACGGGCGTGGGCGCCAGTCCTGGCGATGGCGAAACTACTGCTGAGGGCGAAATTGACTACGCACTTGACGAAGCCGCTTATAATGACACGGACACCCCAGCACCACCGGACGGGCCGCAATTCGTACCACTGCCCGGCGTCGAGGACCTCGCGCAACGGCCGCCCTCAAAGGTACCGGGTGTCGTACTCGTTCGCGAGCAAGAAGACCAAGACGCACTACGTCCAGAGGACATATAGACATTTTCCCCTAACTACCCAATTGACTTAGTTTCTTAGTGATGCCCTGTCGAGTCAAAGAAATGTTTGGCCGCGGCCCAGTGTTTTTTAGACTCAAAAATAATGGGGACAGAGATCAAGCCAAGTCTCCCCACCACACAGTCGCTAGTGAACAGTCTATTACCGTTTCTGGACCCACAGCTCGCCGCCTGTGTACTTCTTTGGGCCAAAATCAACAATGTGGGTATTAACACTTATCTCTCTCCCCTCGTTCCCTTAAGCCATCATCTTCAAGTGTGCCCTCGCTCCCTTATCTTCAAGTATGTTGCCAAAAGAGTGTGTATGTATTTAGAAGTGTGAGTCGGCGGACTTAGCGTTGCGCGAATTATTGGGCGCGTATCCGGTGGGTTGGGCGACGGAGTTGTTGGATGGTGGCACGTGTTCCGGAGACGCGTGGGTTGCGCCCAAGTTTGAGGGGGAGGAAGGCGCGTGGAATGCATTGCAGGTGGCGTGCCTCGGTGCAGGATTATGTTCTGTTCCTGGTGCCGAGGGGTTGGCGGCAGCGATGAGTGAGGTCGTGGAGCCGGTTCGTGTTGCAGGTCGTGTATTGGAGTTGGCTGAGTTGTTGGATGGGCGGTTTGCGTCCGTGTGTCGCGGTGGTTCGAATCGCGGCGATGCCCGAGTGGCGGCCGAGTGTGAACTTGTGAACCAGACAGTATGGCTAGTTCACCGCGCGCTGTGGCTGCTGATGAAGCTGGGTCTACCTCATGCCAACAACCACTCACTCCCCAATGCTTCCGCCCCCAATGCTTCCGCCCCCAATGCTTCCGCCACGACTGCTTCCGCCCCGACTGCTTCCGCCACGACTGAAGATTGGAGTGAAGTCGTCGATTGGTTGTTCAGTGAACGTGTTGTGCAGTCAATCAACCTTATAGCGCCGCAGCTAATACGCTACTATGTGGTGCTGGTATTGCCTAGTCGCAAAAGGACTGAACAGGCACGCATTATTGGTGGTACTTTTGTCAACTTCCGACATAAATTGGACGACCCTTTCCAAAGCTTTTGTAAAGCTACTTATCACGAAATAAGCATGGCACGTGCACAAGACGAGTTGGCCCTTCTACCGGCACAGTGTGCAGCCGACTACTGGCTTTGTGACATAACCAGTCAAATAACGCAACATGCACGAGCACTCGTATTCGACTTCTTCGTCAAAACACATCGCAGTCTCAACCTTGACAAACTCCTCGCCATGCACGGACCAGATACTGGCGATGATGACCAATGGATCGCCGCCATGATCAAGGACGCCAAACTCGACGCCAAGATAGACGACGCTCGACACGCTGTTGAAATGCCATCCACCGTTGCCAGTGCGTATACTAACATCTCTGAAAAAACACTCAACCTCTTCAACCGCACTCAGACAATGATCCTCAACAGCAAACCCAACTAGACGGAGGCCATCCAACCAGACGAAAACCACCCACTAAGTGTTAGCAGTCGATCCCACTATCGTCAGCTGATCCCACTATCGTCAGCTGGTGGCCTTCAGCTGCTGCTGCTGGTGTGCTCAGTCAGTCAGTCAGTCAGTCAGTTCCAGAGTGTGAACTGATAAATAGTTTTTCCATGACACGACAACAAAAAAAACCTAATCCGACATCGGACGGCCTCGATCTCCCGACTTCTCGATACCGAGTTGGTCGACTTGAATCGACACAATTTTCCATTATTCACTGGATTCGTCGGATGTGTCTTCCTCGCTCGTACCACCAGCGGACGCCGTTTTCAGGATACGGCCTTCGTCCAGTTGGTTCTTATTCGTGCCCATGGCATGATAGGCCTTCTCAGTGCCCAGTGTCTTCTGCCTACGGAACGCCCTACGAAACAACCACCCTGTGTGTACGGAGTGCGTGTATTCCCACACAGGATGTATTTCATACAGATTGACACACAGTGTTTGTTTACAGCGCCTTCATAAGTTCGTTGGCTCCGGCGGGCGAGGCGGCGAGTTGCGGAGCTCCATTGTCAGTGGCGGGGCAGGCGGCGATAGAGACGGCACGATGCCGGACTGGTGGCGTCACGGAGGCGACGGTCTTTTTACCAACACCTTCGAATTCACGAGCGGCGGCACCAAGTGTAGCCATTCGCGAGAAGCCTTTTTGAATAGCCTGTAAGGCAACCGTATTTTGTTCCCTTTTCCACTCGCTCGGTTTCTTAGCACGCGTATCATCCATACTGCTGACGACGATCACACGGTCCTCTGCTCCAACCTCCGCTCCCACTGCATCCTTACTCACCACCAACGTCTTCCTCGAACCCACACGGCAACCACGACTCTCCAACTCACCCGGCGCCTCCTCCTGTGGTACCTCTTCCTCCGAGTCAGAGTCGCCCCCAGTATTCGGTGAACCTGACTTGCACAAACCCAACGGTACACGCATAGACCTCTCTCTGTCTACTTTATCCCCCTCATTAGCTTCCTTCTCTTTTTCAACCCGGAGAAGATTCTCCGCCCGAGCCTTCTCAGCCTTCTCCTTTTCGGCTCTAGCCTTCTCCTTTTCGGCCCTGACCTTCTCCATCCTCTCTTTCTTCTCTTTCTCCGCCTTCTCGGCCTTCTCGTTCTCCGCCTTCTCGGCCTTCTCTTTCTCCGCCTTCTCGGCCTTCTCTTTCTCCGCCTTCTCGGCCTTCTCTATCTCGGCCTTCTCTTTCTCCGCCTTCTCTTTCTCGGCCTTTTCTTTCTCCGCCTTCTCCCGTTCAGCTCCTTCCAGTTTGTCACGCTCGGTAGTCCGGGTCTTGTCGGTTCTGTGTGATCGCCTTTCGATGATGTCTTTTTCGGTGTCCTTTTCCGAATGGTCCTTAGACCGCCGGCGGCGGTCGGGGACGTAGGTATCTTCGAACTCGGGTTCATCGGACATCAAGTTCTGACTCACGAGCATCTTACTTGATCCCGGTGCACACGCACGCTTCCGCGCGGGTCTCTCGCCCGACAGGGGCTCCGACCCGTACTTACCTGCACCCGGCGAACGATCACGGTGACGCGCTCCATCCGAGTCATCACGTTCACGCCTCGATCGCTCCGCACGATCACGATCTGCACGATCCGCACGGTTACGCTCTTGACGATCCGCACGGTCCACACGATCTCGATCCCGGTCACGCTCGCGATCTCGGTCCCGCTCAGCCCGATCCCGTTCGGTCCGATCCACACGGTCTCGATTCACACGATCCCTATCCCGCTCCCGTTCGCGATCTGGACGATCTGAACGGTCGCGTTCGAGCGCAAGTCGTTCGGCACGGCCACCATCACGTGTGCGATCCGGTCGCACGCGTTCATGCTCTTCATCAGATCTGGCACGGCGCCTCCGTGCAGGTGCTTCTTCGTCGCCGCCGGCTGCGGCGGTCAATGCCTGTCTTTTCATCCGTCCGCTTATATTTAAAAACCTGGCTGCTAGTTCTCCCCAGTTCCCGACTGCCTCCCCGAGTCTAACTACCTCCCTGGCGTGGCTGGGATATGAGCTGTCTGTCAACTTCTCACGGTCGGGGCTTATCTGGTTTGTCGGGGCAGTTTTAAGAAACTGTGGGGCTGTCAAGAAACGGTGGACTCGGAACCTGGGGCCTCCACGACAGGCGGGCGCGATTCCAGGCGCGCGCGTTTCGTCACCGGCGGCGACTCGCCGTCGGTGGGCAACTCTTTCTTGCGGGTCATCTCGTCCGCTGCGGGCTGCCCAACGCGCTCTGTCTCTGCAGCCTGTTTCTTGTCCGGTGTTATGCGGTCTGGGTCCGGTGTTATGCGGTCTGGGTCCGGTGTTATGCGGTCTGGGTCCGGTGTTATGCGGTCTGGGTCCGTTCTTGTGCAGCGGAGGTGGATTGGTAAGCTTTGTTTGGGAACGTAGGTTACGCGGAGGTTGACGCTGTTACTATGTGCGGGGCGGTCGTTCCAGCCATGTATGAGTGCCAGGAAGTCACCAATGGCGCGACGGAAATCGACGACGACAAGCTCCTCAGGTAAAGCGCTTGGCGGGCGAGCAACCTCGACACCGACGTAGAGCTGCGCCGCATGTTCCCATACCCTCGTCCCTCCAGCCCCTTCGACTCCAGCCCCTTCGACTCTAGCCCCTTCGACTCCAGCCCCTTCGACTCTAGCCCCTTCGACTCCAGCCCCTTCGACTCCAGCCCCTCCGTCCGTCTTGACATCGACCTTGCGCGGCCAAGGCCGGACCTGCGTAACCACCTCCATGACCTCAAGCTGGCGGGTAAAAAATCGCAGTTTAGATTCAACCCAACCAAACCATTTTCGATACACCTGCTCACCATCAGCCAAAATCGTCAACGCAATGTAATGATCGAAGCTCTCAAAGAACTCGAACGGGCTCAACAAACGGTCCCAAACTGTATCCGATTGACTGACACACACACTGGGAGTGACTGTTGGTGTTGTATCCATCGGAGTCAACATTGGGGCCGATGGTTGTGTATCCGTTGCGGGTTGTGCATCCGTTGCGGGTTGTGCATCCGTTGCGGGTTGTGCATCCGTTGCGGGTTGTGCATCCGATCCGGTCGCGATATCATGATCTTCAGCTTGTTCGAGTACGGTGAGTGCTCGTTGGAATTCTCTAATGATGACTTGCATAGTTGACTTGGTAACATTATGAGTGGAATTCATAGATGGGAAAGCGGGTGTAATAATAGGCATTAGATGGTTTCGATCGTGTAAGTTGGTTTTTGGATTCCAAGGTTTGAAGTTCATGAGTCCAGGTACATCCGGGTATTCTTTGATTTTGCATAATACAACAGGTAATTTCCAATTCCATATGGCGTATATTTTGAAGAATCTTTTGATTAATTGATTGGGAGCATGTCTGGGATAAAGTTGGCATATTCTTGCGACTAATAATGCCCATGCTACACCTCCTAGAAATCCCATAACATTTGAGTAGATACCTCGTACCTTTGCCCATTGTTTAATAAGACGAAGTGTAGTAATAAATGCTTCTTTAGATGGTACAAGTGACAGCATCATATCATTAACTCTGCTGCCATTAAGTGATCGTGCTGTCTTCTCATCAACGTGTTTCAATAACTCATCATCTAATAAATTAGACATGTTCAAATGAGTCATTGGCAAACTTGCAAACAATAAATCAATGTCTACACCAAGATAAGAGAACCTAATTATAGGTGTAAACGCATCAGGTACTGGCTGTAATTCTGCAACTGATGGATCTTGTTGTAACTTCGCCAATAATCCTCCAAAAAACGCAGCACGTGTAACATAATGCGGTACCACACACAACGTATCGATGTCACTTGCTGGGGTCACCACACCCAACCGGTACGATCCAAATGTAAATATCAACCCATGAGCCTCACGCGCTTCACGAATATCCAACGCTACACCTGTTTCTTGCACCCACTCCTCTACCAAACAACCTAGTCGCTCCAACACTCGCTCGCGATGTAAACTACCCTCACGAGTCTCATACAAACCACGTAACCGCATACAATGCTCCAGTGATTCAGTTGCTATGAAATCACTTGCACTAGGACCCTCCCAAGATATCGGATCCGTCACGCCAAACCGATAAACTCGACGACCACTCTGAAACGAACCACTCTGAAATGATCCACCTTGTGCTAAAGGACCTGCCTGTAAACCCGACACGCTCGCCGACACACTCGCCGACACGCTCGCCGACGACCGTCCGGCACCTCCTAAACCAGCCACGGACGGCGGTCCCGCAGAAACACTCGATGCAGGCTTACTAGACGGACCCGATGCAGACCCAGCACACGGACCCGATGCAGACCCAGCAGAGGGACCGGGAGGCGTCATTCCACACACGGCCTCGGCCACAGGCGGTCCCGAATTACTGCTGCCGTTACCTATCATTATGTGTTAGTCCTCATACAATTTTTCGGACCCAAAATACCACTGCTCAGATTTGTTGGGGGGTGGTGGTGAGTTTGTGGGTCTATTTCCACACGATGTGGCAGGGAAAGACTTCGAACCGGGGGCTGGGAGGTTCGGAGTTCAGGCGAAGATGTGGAACTCCGCATCGGTACCAAATTCCGCAGCGGGGTAGCCACCGAACTCGGTCGCGGCCAGGCCTGGGTACTCCTGCACGGCGAAGCCGAGAGAGGAGTATTGTTCCTGTTCGCGGAGCAGGGCGAGTATCTCACTGGGCAGTTGCGCTGTTTTCTCGCGCCTGCCGGTGCCGCCGTGCTCGGGAACCGGCGGACGACGGTTCGAGTCGCTCCGCCGACGCGAGTCGCTTCCGCCGCCCCGCAACGACTCTCGCCCACCAGTGGGCACGTTGGAAATGGGTCCTGAGAAAGTGTTGGAACCGACTTCGGGTCCAAGTCCACCGGCAGTAGGTTCGGGAAGGGGACTGTTGGCCTCAAGCAGATTTGCGAAGGAATGGGCGAGGAGCGAGTCATCGAAGAAAAGCTGCTGGACAAGCTCTTCAAGTTCGTCTTCCTTTTTGTGACGCACGCGCTTCTCCTGGCGTGAACCGTTCGGGCCGCCACTGGAACCGCCGCTGTTGGAAGCGCCCGTGGCTGCGGTTTCGACGGTGACTCCGGATCCCACGGACGGCGGTTCGAGTCGCGATGGCGTCGCGCGACGTGGGCGCGGGTCAGTGGGCGTGCGTGGGGGCGGCGGTTGGAGTGCCTTGGAAGCAATGAGAGTCGCAATGGCGGGGGCAATGCTAGAGTCAAAGAGTGGGCCCAAAACGTTCATGAGGTTTTCGTGCTGCAAACTGACAAGGTCTAGCCAGAATTGAGGTGTCAGGAGCCCTCCATTGGGTCCGGCCGCTGCGGCGCCGTGCAGCAATTTGGCGCGTGCTAGCGGACCGTGCCCCCATCCTCCATAACCGTTGGTGGCTAGACCGTTGGTGGCTAGACCGTTGGTGGTCGCGAACTTTCGTGCGTTTTGGTAGAGGTAATCTTCGGGACAGACGTGTTGGTCATCGGCAGGATTCGAACCAGCGACTTGGAGATTGGCAGTGGCGGGGGCGGCGCAGGTATAGTTGCCATCTTGGGGACGACAACAGTTGCCCGCACCACAGGGCGGTGGTTCAGCGAGGCAGGGGTTCAACCGTTCGCAACCACGACCGTCAAACGTCGGAATAAAACCCGCACCACACTCGCAGTAATAACCGCCAGCCGTGTTGCGACAGACGGAGGAGGCGCGAGGACAGTGGTCGAGTCCGCGCGCACACTCGTCCACGTCTACACACGTCTGTGCGAATGCGTCCGCCTCGAAGCCCTCAGCGCAACTGCACGATGCCGCACCGTCCGCACCCACCTGCAACCGCCCGTTGTGCCGGGCACACACACGTTCGCACTCCACCTGCGCTTCCCGCGTTCCACAAACACCCTCCCCCGCCACACACATCGCCAACAGCAAAAACCGACGCAATAGGCACATCACACACGTGTGTGCTGACCACCTTACTCTACCAGGAACCTGTTGTAACCAACTCTAGCTTGTAACTGAACACGTGACCGAACACGTGACCGAACACGTGTGACTGACCCCTGTCGGGGGCTCCCTGGCTGACTGACTGCACCTTGCGGGCTAATGCACCACTCGGTTGGATGCCCTACGTTCGACTGCCTGCCTCCGAGTTGTATCGCATTTCTTTGTTCCTGGGGCGGCCGTTGCCGGCTCCATTGGAGTTTGCTCCTGCCACGCGCCTGTCGCTGTGTCTGTTCACGCCGTGGCGGCCACCGTCCACGCAGCAGGTGACGGCTATTTTGGAGCGAATGCGCGCCCGCCAAGATTCGAACCAGCGTCCAGCAGGTGGCGGGAGCTGCCTTAGCATCGCCTCGAAACTTATCCCGCGTCTGCCCGCCTGCCATGCCAGAGTTCCCCCAGCCCTCGTTGACGCACTCGCCGTCATGCTAGGCTCCAAACCATTCGACCCAACCACTGCCAGTCTGAGCACCAGACTCGATACCACTCCGGCTGCCGCGACGACCCTGCCTACTGCAGTCGCGACAACGGCCGTGGGCCGGGGAGGTAATCTGGGACCGGCAGCCACGCGGATATGTTCCTGTTCTGCCTGCGAGGAGTTGCGTGAACATGTCTTCCATTGGGAGTGGAAGTCTGTGGCACAACATGTCGCCGTTGCCGACTGGCTAAGCATGGTCCTAAGCAACGCTGCCTGCCGCCTCGGACACCTCGATTGGGTCGACGGCAGCTCCCTCGTGGAAACACAGCGACTCCAGGACAAGGCGTGCAGACAGCACACTCCAACTCGGAGTCCAACTCGGAGTCCAACTCGGAGCCCAAGTCCGGAGCAAGGTGCGATTCGAAACTGGGATCTCCCGCACGACGGAGATCTCCCTAACGACGGAGACCTCCGGCGCTGGTGGAATCGTACCACGTCGCATTCGCGCTTCCCGACACCGCCGCTCCGCAGCGACCCGCTCCGTCCTGCGCGGGTTCGAATCCACCCCCGCCGCCCGCGACGGCCTCAATTCCGTCCGGCCCAGGAGGCAGCGCTACCCCAAGACGACGGCTGGTACCCGGTCGCGGGGGTGCCGGCCGCAGAGATTCCCGAAGGCGACCTGTCTGAGCCCGACCTCGATGTCCCGCAAGAAGGCGACCGCCCGGGCGATCACCCCATGCCAGCGGACGATGACCCCGCGCCGGGCCGGAGGTCGGGCTCGGAACCCGCGGTCGGAGGTTCGATTCCGGAGGGTGCCGCGGCGGTGCTGGCGCGGGCGGCGGGGCGTTGGGCGGCGACGCCGTTGCCGGCCATGGATCGTGACTCGCAGTTGCGGGCGCAGCTGTACGAAGAGATCCGTTTGGCGGCGGTATGGCACCGGCGACGACGGCGGCGACGGGATTCGAACCTACGGCTGCGGGTTCCAAGTCCGACGTCCGGTCCGACGGTCGGTCAGAAAGTTTTCTCGGATTCGAACCGACGTCCGGCAGATGCGGAGTCCGGGTCTGCATTGGGTGAGACGATGGCGGTGGCCTTTTTGACTCGCGCTATGTCGGATGTGGAACGCGGGTTGGAATGTTTCCTGGCGCTGAACGCGGGCAGTTTGGAGTCCGTGCGTTTGGTGGGTCCTTTATTTGCGGGGTTGTCGGCTACTCGACGACTGCCGATTTTGCGGAGCTGGGCACCGCCTGGATTCGAACCGGCGACCCAGCCAGTATGCTCACGACGCAGTGCTAAAAGATCAAACTCACTACCGGCATCAAGCTCACGCAACCCACCTCTCCCCCGCACCGGTAAGTGGCTCATGCCGCGTCTACGCACTCTCCGCTGCCCCCTTACACAGGCCGCACTCTTCCTAGCACCTTGTCTCCAGGCCGCACAACTCGAAGCCAAACCACATAAACGAACACCTATACTTCTTCGCACCTTCTTACTCACACACCGCCGTACACTCCGCGAACTCACCCTACTCCTCCACTACAATGCAGATGCGGACGGGTACAATCCAGATGCGGACGGGTACAGTCCAGATGCGGACGGGTATGGGGACCGAGACCGGCACCCGGACTGGGACCAAGGCCAGTACGACCAAGACTGGGACCGCAGGCCCGAAGCCGTGTTGCTGCCGCGGCTGCGCGTGCTCACGCTGGAATTCAAGGGCCCCTTCGAGTGCAAAAGCGCCCGTTCGAATCCCGGCGACGCCGCGGCGTCGCTGCCGGCAATAACCGGTCCGCGGCTAGAATGCTGCGTGCTGCGTCTGAACCAGGAACTGGTGCCGCTACCGCTGCCGCGGAGCCTGAAGCACCTAGTCGTCTCGCACTTCCCCGGCGTTTTTCCTTGCCAGCGTGCGCGCGACTGGGTGTTGGATTCGAACCAGGAACCTGAGGCGCAGAAGGTGGCGGTGCAGAAGCTGGAGGTGCAGAAGCTGAGCCGGCCGCCTTTGTTAAATTTGGAAGTGTTGTGCTGTTCGACAGCAGTGTTAGAACAGCTTTTGGGTACGGGTTCAAGTCCAGCGGATGCAATGCCGTATTTGCGTTTCTGGCACGTCGCTGCGGCGGCGAGTGGGTCGGGTCGGGTTGTACGGGCGGTGTGCAACGCGCTCCCGAGTCTTCGGTCTCTGGCTGCGCGGCCGGAGCTGTTACTCGGACGTAGCCCGCTCGCGGCCGTCGACGGGATTCGAGCCGCCGACTTCTCGCTCCCATATTTCAGAACGTTTCGACACGTGAGAGCGCTCGCGTTAACGCAGTGCCTGGCTGGGTGGCTGGGGCGAAGCGGGCCAGAGTTCGAGAGGTGGTTGAGTGCATTGTTGAACACCTTCACACAGTTGCGAACTTTGGCGCTGGATGTGCGCGAGTATCCGCCGCGACTGAACCTAGTGCGGCTTGTGTGCGGTGTGGTGCGTACTTGTCCTGGTTTGCAGACGCTGACCCTCATCACTGCCGCCGCGTTGCCCGACTTCGAATTCGAGGTGGTGGGTTCGAAACCAAGGTCGCGGGACGATACAGTTCTTAGACTGCAGATAACAACTAACCATGCAGTATCAAGTTGTGAGGGATGGACATTGCAACCGCGACCTGCACCACGATCATTGGAAGCGGCGGAACTGGTGACGGAAGACGTGCTACCCCTAACGGCGCTCGCAGGGCATACGGCTTGTCCTGTGTGTCATGCACACTCGTGTGCACCCAACGACTGGGAAGAGGAATACTTGCGCAAGCATGTGTTCCACGTCAACCTCTACGACACCTACTATCGCACATTGGCCGTGGCGGACCTGAACCAGCTTTTATCTTGACCAAGGTTTGACCGCCTCTAGGAACTTCAGATCCCGCCAACAACCCAGTACTCTAGTACTCTTTAAATTCGATGCAGTCGACGAAGAAAGCACAAAGAAAGGACCACACCTGCAGGCACGCCAGCGACCTCCTGGTCCGGACACACCTTCGTTTTGGTTTTTAAAATAGCGCACAAAACGTCTTGCGATTACTCTCCCCGAAACAAGTTGATTTTACCAGCCTAACCCCGGCGGCGCCCTCGCGGGATCTTCGGCGGGTGTGAACTACCCTGCCGGCGGGTATGAACGGACTACAACACAGCGCGCACTTGCCAGCAAGCGTCCTCCGCTGTTCCCAACGACGAAATGCGGACGGTTTCGTAACCAAGGTTTCGTTTCCCAACCGTCCGCATTTCGTCCGCGCTTTCGGTGTCCACCTGATCGCTGTTGTTATCCTCGTCCCTCATCCGCGTGCGCCACTACTCGCAGCTCACTGAAGCATTACGCGTAGTAGTTGAATCATGGCGGTTTCTTCCATGTTGAATTCTGCACGTCCGACTGCGAACGCTACGGAGTCGACCCAGTCTTCGAACCGCTCCTCGCTGGTGACGTCGGCTTCAGACCACGGCTTTGCTGCTAAGCCCACTCGTTTCGCTCCGCATTTGTCTATCGGCTCTGGTCACGGGAACCTCGACAAGTAGCGGAAACCATCCAGCAGCTGTCGCCAGTGACTCGTCCATGATGGGTTGGGGGGCCGGGGCATCCCTGTTGTCGTTGTCCCTGGGTTCGGCATCGCTGTTAATGGCCGGGATGTCAGGTAGTTGGCCTTGCGTTTATAGTCATTGGAGACAAAGATTTCTTTTGAGATCGTTATGTCCCGGTAGGGCTCGCTGTTAGACCTACACTAGTTGCGGCGTCTGCCTGGCCGCTCCCGTTGTCCGCCCCGCGCGCTCGTTGCCCGTGCTACTGGATTTGGACGCGCTGAAAGACTTGGCTAGTCTGAGTCGAGAGTAAGGAACGGTGACAATAGAAATGCCGACGTTCGCGGCAGAGACAATGTCGCCAGAGGGGTGTCCTTCTCGGTCGCTGAGGGAGGAAGAGCTCAGACGCCAGGTAGACTCCCAGCTTTCGAAGGGCGTCATACGTCTGAGTAAATCGCCGTGGAGCTCTCGTCCATTCGTAGTCCCAAAGAAAACAGGCGACTACCGGGTCGTAATAGGCTATCGACAAGTCAATAAACAGATGTTTGATGATGAACTCCTAAATAAGGTGATGCGGGTCTGTATCGACAATGGCTTCTTCTTGAAGCTGGCCAAATGTGAGTGGCTCCGCGGGAAATCCCCTCGCTTGGTCATGCCGTAGGGAAGTGCAGCATCAAGCCCCAGGGCTCTCGTTCCACCGAAGGTTCGTGCCATGCGCAGTAGGCGCGATATTGGGTCAGGTCAACGACAGCCGGCTGGAATGATCGAGTACGGTAGCAAGAAGCTCACCCAAGCTCAGCGTAAATTGGGGGCGCGAGAGAAAGAGAGTTGTGGGCGGTCAAAGTACTTTGTGACCATGT